CTGCTCTGTAACTATTCTTGATGTTTCTGTCTCTTACAGCTATATTGTAAGCCCTTGTGAGTCTTTAGTTTTTTATGTCCTCAGTGACTGAACACAGTGTCCTACAAGTAATTTGCGTTAACACTGATGATGACAGTAGTGCAGGAAGGCACATGGTAAGACAGAGGAATGTGACCAGCTGATCTGAGGGCAGGGAGCAGGCATATGCCTATGCTGAGCAGGTTTTAGGTGGCAGTAATTTTATAACTGACTCCTCTTGGAGCCTACATGAGTATCCCTGCCTGACACAGCTGTTACACTGAAGGAATTAAAACAGAGGGGTACAGGATTTATTGATGTTTTTAGTCATTTGATAGACTGGAAATACAAGTGTATGGAAATTTTGAATGATTTGATGGTTATATCTATATATTGATCTCTGTATATATACACACGTATATAGCAATTGTATAATACATGACACATCTTTTATCTTCTTTGATTTTAATTATATAGAGAGAATATAGGATATATGTCAATCAGCTAGTGAATCCTAGGTTTTAGAGTTGGAAGGAGCCTTTAAGGTCATGTAGTCTAGCTTCCATATTTTCAAATTTAAAAGAATTGGCCAAACAGAGCCTAGAACCCAGATATTATACCTCCCAATTCAGATTCTTATAATTCATTGCTACTGTGTGCCCATAGCACTGTGGGATATATAAAACAGAGCAGTATTATTTGCCCTTGAGAAAATTTTGATGTGGTTAGGAGCCATTGTATATACGAAACAGAATGAGAGTCCTTGGGTGACTGTTCACTACATAATAAAGAACAAATATTTTTTAAATGTGGCTTGTGGAATTTGTCTAATTACTTTATAATATGTTAAATTGTTTGGAATAGTCCATTTTTGCCCTAGAGGTTGTCATAGAAGTTCAGAGGCAGGAACTACAAGTAACTATAGTTATCAAGGAAGGCTTTACTAGAGGTGGAACGTGAGCTAGGCCCAAGAGATAGGTAAGAGTTTGATGGGCAAAAAGGGGCCACACAGATAGGAGAATACATGAGTAAAGGCAAGGAGGTTGGTGTGAGCATGGCTATAGGGGCTGGGGGCCTTCTCCTTGTGTTACATAAAGAGCAACCCCCCCAGTCTTTGGGGGAGTAGTGGAAAATACTTTTGGATAGTTAAGGTGGAACCAAGTCAAGCAGGCAATTTGTTAGAAGAGGTAAGAATTTTAATTTCAAAGTGTATAAAAGGAACATATTGTCAGATCTTAGAAAGCAGAATGACATGATGGTGTATCATCTGCGCTTTCCTCTCATCACTTTATTCTCTCCAAGGTCAGTCATAAGTAATCTGCAAATCTTCAAATTTAGTGACCTGTTTCCAGTCCTTATGCTCCTTGACCATCTTGTTCTCCTTGACACTCTCCTGCTTTTGCTCTCATACACTGTTCTCTCTTGATTCTCCTACTGAAGTTACTGTCTCTCTCACATCTTCTTTCTGCCCTCTCTCAATGTAGGGCAATTGCAAAGCTAAGTGCTTTTTATTGTGAGTAGTGGACTCTCAAGGATGAGATGGTTTGTGTGTACTACAACTGGGAAGGCGTTAGGAACCAAGCAAGCAGTGCTGAGGGCCAACTACTTTGTCTCTTCATGTGTTACATGTTATGTCCCTTTCCTGGCCCTTCCGCTTCTCTCTATATCCTTCTTCACCCTTCTTGCTGGCTTCTTTGCTCACTTATAGTTTATAAATTCTGGCTTACAAGTGACTTCAGTTTACCATCACTCTGGTTCTTCTCATGGTATCTATTCAGCTTCAACTAGTTGGTATTTCTTTCCACGCTTTTTTGCTTAGAGAGAGAATCTGATTGGCACAGTTTATCACTAGGTAGATGACGCAGGTTACTGGTTGGCTACTGTAAGACTTGATCATTAGTATCAGTATCTACTCTGAATCTAATCAGCTTTTGCAATGGGTTTAGGGACATGGCTGTCTATGGCTTCCCCTTTGGCAGAGACTATAAAAGGGGCAACTCCCTTTGGAGGGTGCTGTGGGAGAGCAGGCATTGCAAAATATTTCTCTGTTTTTCTTCTGTACTCTAGGCTTCAAATATCTCATGACTTTCTGGTCTATACTCACTCCTCTTCAGAGCTTTTGTTTTCCATCTTCTAGCTACCTGCTGAATGGACATATCTACCTGGATGTCTCTCCATAAGCTCAAAGTTAGTAAGTTTAAAAATTAAGTCATCTTTTTTCCAAAACCAGTTCTCACTTCATATAGAATAGGTAGATTTTCTTAGTCTCTAAGCTTCTTAATAATCCTGTTTTCCTTTTTCCTTTCTGTCTATAATATATCTGGTCACCAAGATGCCTAGTTTTCCTTTATAACTCTCTTGTATTGGTCCCTTCCTTTTCTTTCACACTGAGACTGTGTTTACCCTGGCTTTGCGCACCACATGCTTGGGTTTGCCACAGTCTCGTCACTTACGTCCTTGTTGCCTTTATCTCCTTCACCTACGCATCTGCTGCTAGGATGATCTTTATACCCCGTTTTAGCATGACTGTTGCCTCTGATGACTATTTCTTTCAAGTTGGTTATAGATATTTATTATAAATATTTCTCTGTGACGTTAATGGGTGTGGTAAGGTGTTTATCGAAATTTTATTCCCAACAATTTAGGATTTTTTTCTATTTCTGACAATGAAGAAGTGATGATAGTAGGTCAATTCCAATGTTAACGACAAGAAAAGAACGAGACAGATCTAACTAGAAAGATCTCTAACTTAGAACATAAAAAGATCTAACATAGAAAGATTACCCAGCTATATTGTTGTCAAAAAAGTATACATAATGCACCATTATATGCATGTACATGCATTAAAAGAAAAAAAGATTTGAAGGCCGGGCGAGGTAGCTCATGCCTGTAATCCTTGCACTTTGGGAGGCTGAGGCAGGAGGATCACTTGAGGCCAGGAGTTTGAGAACAGGGTGGGCAACATAGCAAGACCCCATCTCTACAAAAAAA